GGCGGAGTGCATGTCGGTAAGGACGAGATGGATGTGGGAGCTGGGGACCAGGGTATCATGTTCGGTTATGCCAGCGATGAGACTTCAGACTGCATGCCGCTGACCCACTCCATGGCCACAAGGCTCGGCAAGACCCTGACGGAGGTGCGCAAGAGCGGTGAGTGCTGGTGGTTGCGACCGGATGGCAAGACGCAGGTGACGATTGAGTATATGCAGCATCCCGATGGTAGTGTGGAGCCCAAGAAGATCCACACTGTGGTGATCTCCACCCAGCACGCGGAGCCCTCCAAGGCCAAGCGCACCCAGGAATGTGCTGGCTACACTGGTGCGGAGATGGTGGCCCCCAGCATGGAGCAGATGAACAAGGAGATTGAGGAGAAGGTAATCAAGCGGACGCTTCAGTCGATCAAGCTGAAGAGCGGCCAGCCGGCCATCAGCTTGTACGGCAGCCACACCCACCTGCACATCAACCCTTCCGGCAAGTTCATCATCGGCGGGCCCCAGGGCGATGCAGGCTTGACTGGTCGGAAGATCATCATTGATACGTATGGAGGCTGGGGAGCCCATGGCGGTGGTGCCTTCTCTGGCAAGGACCCTACCAAGGTGGACCGATCAGCTGCCTACATCTGTCGTCAGATGGCCAAGTCCGTGGTGAACAGCGGCTTGAGTGCTCGCTGCCTGGTGCAGCTGTCCTATGCCATTGGCGTGGCAAAGCCCTTGTCCCTGTTTGTGGAGACCTATGGCAGCGAGAAGGGCAGCCTTGACGTTGACTCCATCACCAAGGTCCTGAAGATCGAGTTCGACTGCCGCCCTGGTGCCATCGCCCAGTCCTTGGCTCTGCGTGAGCCCAAGTACCAGGAGACGGCGGCTTACTGCCACTTCGGCCGCGAGCCCTGCACGAAGGGAGGCATCAAATTCTTCGAGTGGGAGAACCCCAAGGACCTGTCTAAGTACAAGGCCATGAGCACGGATCAGGTGGATGCTGCGCTGAAGGGCAGCACCTACCTGACAAAGTGGGTGGACTAAGTGTGCAGGCAATCCAGAAACTTGGATTGCC